CCCCCGGGATGCCCGGCACTGCCACAGTGGCTGCTCTCCTCAAAGCAACAGCGGCTCGGGATTGTCACTGGAAATGTGATTTCTCGATGTGCCTGAGTCACCCCAGGCAAAGGTTTTCCCTCCCTCCTGGACTCCTCCGTTGCTTTTGGAGGACACAAGCACATGGCAGGTACAAAGCACGCCAGAAACACAACTCACATCAAACGTGACCCTGGGCTTCCAGTTCAGCTTTTGTTTCGCTTTGGTACAGTCTCCTTGAAGAAAATCCTGCGGAAAAAAACGAGACAAACGCTGCGTTCACTTTCCCCATCTTGCAGTCTGACCACTATGTTGCCTGTTCCTACTCCAAAGCACCCTGCCCCCCCCCCCCACAACCCCCTGCTATAAAATGTCTGTCAAAGAATGAAACTTGGGCAAAAGCCCCCAGGATAAGGAAAACTTGGGCCCTGCTCCCTTGGCAGGTTGCACGCAGAGCGAGGTGGGTGTCAGGCGAGGGTGCAGTGCCGGCCTAGCTGGCGTTTCCGTGGGTATGGCCCTGTTCACGCACACTTCCCTGCAAGCCTAGGGCAGCTGGAGCTGCTGCCAGACCCAGCTGTCTTCGGAGGACTACATATTTCTCTTTAAGATGCAATTTTAGTGGAAGCTCCTATGCCTATAAATCACCAGGAGGCAGCATCCTTTCACCAGGCCATTTGAAATCTCAAGAATTATTCTTTGCTTTTGTGTGTGCGCGGGGTTTGAACTCCACTCTTACTGTCTTATAACGGTGAGCATTTTATAGTAAATTGTCTTAGTCATGCTGTTGAATGAGCTGTTTCAAATTCTTTTTTCCCCCCTTTGTTTAAATAATGTAAATCACAGAGCAAACATGACAACTGTTCTCCTTCAAATAAAAACGTGATCACAGACACATGATGCTGAAAGACTGTTACAAATCCGGGTAACCACATCCAACAGTAGTAAACATCCAGCTTTTTAACGCCCACATCTTTTTCCTTAAGTATTTTGAGCATCCACATGGAAAGAAAAGTCAAAATACCGTCTAAATACAAAGGAATTATCTTGAAACTATTACAGAAACCATGACTGTTCACATTCACCTTACTGATTAAGTATTCTGAGCAGTGCTACCACACCAAACGGTCCCACAACCAGTTGTCAAAAATAATGCAACAAAATTAAAGAAGGAAAAAAAGCTCCTTTGCACCTTCAATCAAAGGAGAAACTGAATTGTTTCTTGGTTGTGGATTCAAAGTTATAGATCTATCTCCAGTTGCTTACATTTCTGTAAATGTTTTCATCTGAAACTACTAAAAATCCGCATGTAAAACCCGAGTATTGTGTTTAAATAGTTAGGCTTTTTCCAGCTCTACGTGTTGATTTAATAAAATATATTCTCTCTCTTTACAAGCTTCGTTCCTCCGTAATAGCAAATATTAAAATTATATCGGTCCAGGGTTAACGAAATGTGAGAGAGCAAGAAATCTAAGGCTGAATTCTGCTCTTGCATTTGGCTTTACGACAGTAACACAGCAGGCTTTCCTGAAAAAACTATGGACTGTTTCTTCTCCCTCTTTCACTCTCTGACCACTGGTGGAGCTAATGAGCATTTTGTGGCTGTTGGTTTTAAACTGTATTGCCGCACACAAAATTTTTCAGATGCTATCTTTTGAGCGTGTGCTGTTCAGATCGTGTTAACTTCCCAAGCCACCTCATCCTGTGCAGTAAAACGTAGGAAATTCCTCTTCATACCTGTGCTACAGACAACTAGACGGCTCACTTCCAGGAGGAGAAGAACTCACCATGGGAAATACTGCACCGAAGAAGGGGATGTGCAACAAACATGTCTGCTGAGACTATTCCAGGCAGCGTGTCTAATAGTTCAGTCTTTATGCTAAAAACATTTGAGTTTGCCTCCAGAAAAGAGCAAGCACACGGATCAGAACAAAATGATATGAAAATAAAAATCCTGTGATTTCCTTAAATTGTACTAAATGATTTCCTACTCCAGTCCTGTAATGGGCTTTTAGAAACTGCAGCAGACATTTGAGGCCAAGTCATGCAAAACCGCCTCAGCTTGAGGGATCCCCTGGAGGGTCGTGTGAATATGGGTTGCAAAATCGGGTCTGAAATGAGAAAGTCTCCCACTGACTTTGATAAAATTTGGATCAGGCCCTAATGTATACATGGAGGTATGCCTTTTATCTGGAGTTCAGTTTAATTTACATTATATATGTGTGTGTATATATATGCTTAGGAACAAGGAAATCCGTCTTAAAATAAGAATTTCAGTATAAAAACTACTGCCCGTTATTCAGTTCTAATTCAAGCCGTTAGCTAGCAGTTAAGCGTTTTAATACCATCAAGTTTTAAGTCATAAAAGACATATCATAAAACTTAGGAGTTTCATTTTTATAAGTGCAGTGTAAGTAACAATTTTACATCCATGATCTTTATTTCAAAAACATTTTTTGAACTGAGCCTATCTAGGGTATTAGATTCTCATTTTAAAAATGGACTGAGCACGGCAGAATGAATTGCCGTCGCCTGCTCTACGTAGCTGCATTCTGCTTTTGAACAGCTTGGGAGCAGTCTTTTAACTTTCTTAGACAAATGCTTTTTGTTAAAATAGTTTATCTAAAAAAATACTTTACTTAATTCCAGGCCTTCATTCAAAAACATAAACACTCAGCTGCTGAACAGGCCAAAATAAGGTCGGGGGGAGATCCCAAATCAGTAAAGTTATTTGCAGTGCTGGATTATATACAGAGATACCACAAACAACGAGTGTATTAAAGCCATTTAAGTATAAAAATATGTTTTCTTTTTCTTAAAAAGTTCACATGCTTGAACAATGATGTAGTAAAGGTATTATGGCATAATCTGCTAGCAAAAAAAAAAAAAGATTTAATATATATGATAATACAAATTCCCCATCTGACTCGAGTTAAAAGATTTTAAATAGCTCTCCTAAAGAAGTTTATGTGCTTTTGAGAAACACTACTTTGTAGTAAGATTTACTTAAAAATAGCATTACGGACCAAATGTCTCCTCTGCACTTTTTAAAAGGTTCTCTTACAGAAGTTACTAGGTACAGAGATAAAATGGCTGTTATCACATACCATAATATTAACACAATATTATATCTAAAGTCAAGGTTTTTATTGTATTATTCTTAGTGAAAGCTTCAACACTGAATGGAAATGATGACTGGAACAAAGCTATTCCTGATTAAAGGATTGTATTGCAGTCATGTTTCCTGTATTTTTCTACAAGTAGCTCATAATATGAAAACAATAAGGTAATTACAATAAAATAAGAATATTTAAAAAAGTTCCTCCTGGAACAGAATGACTGCTTGTTTATATTATTGAAGTCTTTCACTGAAGCCAGAGACGCATCTGTAGGTCTTCCCGCCCCCACCCCGAAAAAGCCCAGCTTGCCCCTCCGTAATGTGTACTGATTTTCCAGTCCTAGAGCTTCACTTTCTAGAGGTACAACCAGATCAGAAAGCAAATAAAGAAGAGATAAGGTCCCACTGGAGAAAACTTTTTTTTTTTTTGGGTTCTTGAAAGCCAGCGGCTGCTGCTGTATGTAAACTTGCCCACTATTCCTGTTTTTGATGGAACAGCAGGTGATGAAATTACACCAGTTCATGTTTTTTATTCCTGCAGGATAACTTCTTCTGTAGCATTTAAATATTGACACGAAAACAAAGCCCTCTGATTTCCTGAAAACCCTGAGGATTTAGATACTGAGGTAGGAGTTTGCAAACCTGACAACACTGATTAAAGCTTTGTTACTTTTACAGTGCCCATGTCATCCACATAGAATTAAGTCTTTGCTTTTAGTTACCTATTTTAGGAGGAACCATCTCTTCTTTTCCATGCAAATATGGTTAACAAAAGTTAACCATGCAATGACAAATTTTACATGCAAACTGTTCTAGAAGTTGGAAACAGCATCCAAGTAAATATTTAAAGGGAAGGAAGGTGGAAAAGACAACAGTCAAATTGTCTACTGCCATTTAATATTACAGTAAACTCTCCTACAGTTTTATATTTGCCTAGTTATCATATGATTGACTCTCAGAGAAAAGAATGAGTTTATCTGATGTAAATTTTTCTGTTTAATCTTTTTTTGGTAAATTAGGCTGCTTAACTGTGTAGAAAATACTCTGATGTTATTAAATGTGATTTTATGGTGATTCAGTTTTATTGTCCAAACACACACATGAATACATACAGATAAGCAGACAGAAATTTGTTATTCTGTGTGGTAAGGTATTTTTAAATTAGGTTTTAAAGCCATGAGACAAAAATGTAAAATATTTTAATGTAAATATCACATTTCCCAAGCTCTTGTTCTGAGTGTCATCGCTACTTCTATTTTGACTCATTCAATGATTGATCTGGTTTCACTGTGCAATGTATCACTGTCTCATTCAATTAACTTTAACTGAAATTTTAAAGCCTCAAGACAATGTGAGAAAAAGGAGATAGTGTGGCCTGAAAGAACTCCAAGGTTTCTTTTATTACAACAGCTCAGCTGACTCCCTTTAAACTATTACTTCATTTAACCTAGTGCCAAGAGCCAGCTTTTGCTCTCTGTTACACCAGAGTAAAATGGAGATTAAGTCCTCAGTAAAACACCTGTGATGGAATCGTGCCCAACTCCACTCTCTTCAGCAGAGACAAGGTTTTACCTCTAAAAATAAACAGACTTGCTCTAAGCACACAATAGTTTTACTGCATCTGAAAAGTGGCCAGGGTTACATTCGCAATCAGCAGGAGTTTTTGGAAGCTGATTTGTTATAGCAGAGCTCCCAGAAGTAAAGAACACATAGACCCAGCTCAGTGGAGTCTCTGACTTACATGTTTAGTCTTGCACTATTTTGCTCAAGAAGTTTTGTCAGGAAAGATTGCAAGAGTCGAAGGGCCAAAGTTTCCTGCAAATTCTGTTTGTGTTCTGTTTTCCTTATTTCCTTCTTGAGACCACTGCCTTTCAGCTTTAACTTGTCCCATTAAAAAAAAAAAACGGAATAAACAGCATAGCTACTTAATTCAACAACATTAGTTTACAGTTCCACATTTTCACCGTTATATCTCAGTAAAGCATATATCAAAGTAGGTCACTCCTTTCATGTACTTGTTGGAGCATTTTTCATAGCTGTTTTTAATGAGAGTTCACGTAGCAGATCTCACTAATAAGGTCCACCACACAATATGTTTGGGTATCTGCTACAGCTCATTGCTCAAAAAGGTAAC